AGTAATATCCCCGGGGATTATTTACTCCCCTTACAGAGTAACTCAGTAATATCCCCGGGGATAATTCACTCCCCTTACAGAGTAACTCGGTGATATCCCCGGGGATATTACTGAGTTACACTGTAAGGGGAGTGAATTATCCCCGGGGATATTACTGAGTTACTCTATAAGGGGAGGGAATTATCCCCGGGGATATTACTGAGTTACTCTATAATGGGAGTGAATTATCCCTGGGGATATCACAGAGTTACTCTGTAAGGGGAGTGAATTATCCCTGGGGATATTACCTAGTTACTCTGTAAGGGGAGTGAATTATCCCCGGGGATATTATTATTATTATTATTGCCATTTATATAGCGCCAACAGATTCCGTAGCACTTTACAATATTATGAAAGGGGATTTAACTATAAATAGGACAATTACAAATAAACTTACAGGAACAATAGGTTGAAGAGGACCCTGCTCAATCGAGCTTACATTCTATAGTTTACTGAGTTACTCTGTAAGGGGAGTGAATTATCCCCGGGGATATTACTGAGTTACTCTGTAAGGGGAGTGAATTATCCCCGGGGAGATTACTGAGTTACTTTGTAAGGGGAGTGAATAATCCCCGGGGATATTACAGAGTTACTCTGTAAAGGGAGTGAATTATCCCCGTGGATATTACTGAGTTACTCTGTAAGGGGAGTGAATAATCCCCGGGGATATTACAGAGTTACTCTGTAAGGGGAGTGAATTATCCCCGGGGATATTACTGAGTCACTCCCATTATAGAGTAAATTATCCCTGGGGATATTACCTAGTTACTCTGTAAGGGGAGTGAATTATCCCCAGGGATATTGCAGAGTTACTCTGTAATGGGAGTAAAATATCCCCGGGGATATTACCGAGTTACTCTATAATGGGAGTGAAATATCCCCGGGGATATTACCGAGTTACTCTATAATGGGAGTGAAATATCCCCGGGGATATTACTGAGTTACTCTGTAATGGGAGTGAATTATCCCCGGGATATTACTGAGTTACTCTATAATGGGAGTGAATTATCCCCGGGGATATTACCTAGTTACTCTGTAAGGGGAGTGAATTATCCCCGGGGATATCACAGAGTTACTCTGTAAGGGGAGTGAATTATCCCCGGGGATATCAGTTACTCTGTAAGGGGAGTGAATTATCCCCGGGGATATCACCGAGTTACTCTGTAATGGGAATAAACTATCCCCAGGTATATTATTGGTTTACACTGTGCTCTAGAGAGATCTGGACGGCCCGGGTAAGACATCACTGACCTGAGAGGGTGTAGGTAAGCCCAATATCCCCATCCCCACCCCATTCACCCTTGCTCAGCCTGTGTTATCTGGTAAGGTGGTTGTGTATGTAATTGGACAGATTAGATGGGGTGTAATTACAGCTGTCGTGTAGGTTCTGAGATTTGTCCCTTTTCTCAGATTTTTAATGGAAGTATGCCTGCGCAGATATAAACGCTGTAACCAGGCATTATAAGTATTACATTAGGATCACCCATGATGTAATTTTCTCTGGGTGTCTTTTAAAGCAGCACTGTCCCGTCCTCCCTACCCCCACCCCCTCTCTGAAAAATGAATGCTTTGTAAAGATATAATCCTTATGAAAAAGTGATATTGACTGTGTTGGAATTCACTGAAATCCCAACCCTGTCAAGAGATATGAGACAGTGTAGAGACTACTTTGTCTCTTTATAGTTATTACGCTTGACACCTCTAGACATTGGGCAGAGTTACCTCTGTCTACAAGTGAGAATCACCCAGCTGTCACCAGCTAAAAAGAATTGGATTTATCTATAGAGGATCCCACAGTCTTGTGGGATCTTCCATAGACCTCAATGCTGTACTCTAGCGGATGAAGGAGATTTCAGCAATGATGTCTGCTCCTGTCACTGAAGTGGACCGGCCAAGTAAAGATTATGGGACTGCGAGGGGCAGGCTCAGGTAAGTTACCTCACTCCCAAGCACCCAGCGGCAATGTCACGGCATTGTAAATGCTTTCCCATGAGACCGGCTGAATGCACGCGCAGCTCCTGCCGCGCATGCGCATTCAGCAGGAGAGGAGAGCTCCCCGCCCGGCGCTGGAATAAAGGTAAGTTTAACCCCTTTCCTCGCCATCCAGCCCAGCGGGAGGGGGTCCCTGAGGGTGGGGGAACCCTCAGGGCACTATAGTGCCAAGAAAACCAGTATGTTTTCCTGGCACGATAGTGGTCCTTTAACCAGTGATTGCTGGGCATCGGCCACCTACTCCATTGAGAGATGGAAGCTCATACATAGTCTCCATTAGTTCTGAGCCTAGTCCTGAACTGCTAGGTCCAGAACCTTCTGTTTCTCAATGGAGGAAGGGACAGGTGTATGGCAGATCGCAGATAAGTTGCCAAATGGTTGCACTACTTACATTAGAGGAAGACCAGGCCACACCTGGCATCACAACTACTAAAGCAATCTTTCAATTTTACAGAGGAAATCATTAACCACTTTATTGTGGGTTGTTGTCATTAAAAATGGTCTTTCTCCAGGTGGGGGTTTCTGTCACGTTCTGAAAGTAAAACCTAAGCCTTTCTGTCTCATTTCCAATAGCAGAGTCTTAAGTTTTGCATATTAATCGTCTGTCTTTGCTAACCACAAAATAAACTATTTCTGCTTAAATAATCTGTCACTAACTGAAGTCTTTGCATACTTTGCAAAGACCCCCAGTGGTGACATCATTGCTCGGGTTCTGGTGACCAGGGGGAGGAAGCGGGGGCAGGGGAAGGTAGGTTAATCTTACTAGAACCTGTCACATGCAGACTCCTCAATCATCTTTCATCTGGTTCTTTTCGGCTCCTGGCTCTCTCAGGAGCAGACATTAGTACTGTAGTCTCACGCATGCATACAGCATTGAGGTCTGTGTAGGATTACGGGAGACTGCGAGATCTTTCATAACAATAGCTTTTTTCCTATTACAGCCATCCCTACTTTATCTCAGTATACACTTTGACTGCGTTGTAATAGATATAGAGAGAGATATATAATTTGAACGTAGAGAAGAACCACTGAGGTTGAGTGGCAAGTCATTACTGAAGTTATCAGCATCACAATGATCATAAAATGCTAGCTGAGCATTAAGGATGGGGGTGGGGCAATAACCAGTAAAGCAGCTGGACCATAACCAATGGGTTAATGTATAAACATAATAACTGAGAGCCGAGCTATGGGAGGTTATTCAAAAGGGGGGGGGGATTAGGGGGGGCAGGAATCAAAGGGTATAGAGACAAAGAAATCAGGAAGCGTATAGTGGTACAGGATATAGAGTTATGTCTCATCATTGTTTGTGAAGCTTGTGTATCCATTTCCTATTTGTTCCTACACCTTCTCCAGAAATGCTAAATCCAGCCTTGCATTGCTGTTTACCAGGTAGTTTAACCTGCTGCCAAGTAGTGCCCTGTGTTCCATTGTTTATACTTTGTACTGATCACCCAATGCTGAACTGAATGGGCGCAGAGTATTTTAATCTAACAAAAGGAATAAAAAGAAAATTTAGAACAAGATCATTCACACATCTCACAAATCTGACCTGTATATTACTGCAGTTAAAGAACAGATAAAGCACAACGGAATCTGTTGGCGCTATTTAAATCGCAATAATAAATCACGTATCCAGGAATAGACAGAAAGAAAGCCTTGTTCACCAAGCACTGCCTTGCTCCACAAAACTAGTAACTTCAATGGCAGTCTTCCAGGGTGTAGTAATAACAATGTAACTAGACACAGATTAGAAAAAAATGTCTCAACAGCATTCCCACAGAACTAAAATTTCAAGCAACACTTTAAGCACTAGTGCTCATTGAAGTCATAGTTACAAGGATTCTTTGCGTGCCATCCCTTTTTGTTTTGTCTAACGGTACCACCACAACGAGTTGAGTGAAGCAGCCATATTCATGGTCTTACCTCTATATCCGCATTCACAGTTGTAAACACTAGATGGAGAAACATAATCATAATACAATACCATGAAATCTGCACATTTGCTGTAAATGTGGATCAAAACATACAGATATTATTTTATTCTCTACAACAGCCTGTCCAACCTTGGGTAATCCGAAAGCGACACTAAAAACCAAGATTTATCCAAGGGCCGTATGCAAAGTTATTGCACCCCTGATACAAACTGCATTCTTCAAACACTGCATCCCCTTTAGACACATTATAGGGGATGCCGTGTGTATGAAGGATGCAACATGTGATTGTTAGATGATATAAGGCCTGTATATTGTATGGGGATGTTGGTAGCCAACATGCATATGTATATTCTTTTTGGTTTTTGTATTACTTTTTAGAAAAACATGTAAATATACAGCAGAACTTTGTCTCCTTTACCTTCTTCTTACCGGTTTATCAGGAAGGGAGACCCTGCAGGACCTGGTACTTCGGTGGTATTCCGTAAATCTGCCTGCAGCTCCTCTGGCTGCAGGCAGAGTTCAGTCCTCTCGCGAGCTCCTCGGAGCGTAGCCATGTTAACCTGTGGCAATGCTCAAAATAGCGCAGCTTGGGGCGGGGCCGGACCGCCAGGCTGAAAGGACGCAAAATGGAGTAGCTCCTGTAAAAACCTCCAGTTTTAGCCCCAAAAAAACGGCATCAAGCTTACCTGACAACTGGCTGCCGAGCACCGGTGCAAGAGGCCACCCTGGTCCCGAGGAGAGGCTTGCTGAGCAGTTTTAGTCCCTCGGAGGGGCGATCCAAGTCACACGATGCGGACCGCTCGGGCGGTGAGCGAGGTGGACGGCCGCTGCCTGGCTATCCTGCCCACCAGTGGTAAGGCAGCAATCCGGGGTTAGGCGGGTCCGGCTCCGTTCCCCCCCCCTTTGGACCGGTGGGGGTGATCCCGGTCCCCACCCCGAAACCCATCGTACCACAACAAGGCCGGCACTTGAAGCTGAGGCAGAGGACGGACGGTGAGCCCAAGCGAGCAGGTTACAGCAGCGGAGGCCGGCAATATGGCGGACGCCACGTGCACTCCCCAGCGCGGAGCTAAAGAGCCCGACACCCTGGGAAAATTAGAAGCCATACTTAAAGCCTTCTGGGCAAAATTGGCAAGCAGACAGCAGGCGCCCACCCAACCTCCAGATGAGCAAGTAAGCACTAAGCCACCCGAGCAACAAAGCCATAGACATACAGCCCTGCAAACGAACAATGCCACAAGATGGCGCAGACGAAGACGGCTTCCCCTGGCGACACGCAAGATCACTGGGCACAAGAACCGGGAAAATGCTTACCTCCACCGCCAGTTGCCGCCGAACTCACACAAGACCAGCACACGTCCACAGCCTGCTAAGAAGCATGCAAGGAATAAGTCCACTCCTTCAGACCGGAATCTGTCCACAAAACTACAACCTCAACAAGCCCAACTGAGCCCTGCCTATGCACAGCAACAAGAAGTCCAATGCAGAACGACAGGTCGAAAGGGGCTGACACCAACCACAGTGCGAGACCAACCGACGGGTCAAAGATTCAACTACCTGCTCCAGCACACGAGTGGCATCGGGTGAAGGCTTGTAGTAGTCTCTCTCCCTGCTATCATCCTGGTCAGCAGGGCAGAACTGTATGTCTAGTCATCCTACTAGTATCCGATACCCAGCGGTTCAATTCTTTTATATGTTTCAGCTAGATTTCTCTTTATTCCCCATGCTATTTTCTTGTTCCCCTCAACCCAGATGTATACGAGCATAATCTTAATCTGAAAGTCCTCACTTCTACTTAACTTGCTGGCACCCCAGACAGGCGCCTAGAAGGACGTGCAAAACTTTTACAATACCCTCAGAAGTCATACCTTGCAGACCAGCACGTCTCCATACTATAACCTACAGGCTAGCATAGTTTAAGAATATTAATCTCACTGATAACTGCACTTAGCCGCACATACCTTTGATAAAGGTGCCTAGCCTCAGTACACTACAGAGCATTAACCCAATCTAACCTGACCCTTCAAAGCATGTATGTTATACACAGTGGTCGGTCCGTGGGCCTAGTCACCACTACTTACTGCCTACATAGACATATGTCTAGCTCGCTCTCTACTAAACAACTCCTCATACTCCCGCTTGAAAAACCTGTTTTGCCATTTATTCTCCTATAATCTTCAACATATCTAGATAGACAATGATTTCTTAGAGGCTTCTCCCTATACTCCAGACATGTTCGACAAGCCTGTTATCTTACAACTTTAATTAAAAATGTGTGCAGTAATCGTATATGCCATGTACCTGTTGAACTGTATGTATTACAATTCTTGTTACTGCTGTTGTGGCATGGCAAGAGCGTTTGTTCATCATTTGCACCACAAAAATAAAGAATTAAAAAAAAAAAAAAAAAATAGCGCAGCTTGCGGAAGGAACATTCTGCCTACTGCTCCCCACCTCCCATGCTGCGTATTGGGCTGCTCTGCTCTACAGAGTAGTAACATATGCACTTTATAGCGGCTCTGCCACATCATATCAAAATTGAGTATTTCATAAAGATAGTCTCGACTGGATTGGAATTTCAGTGAATTATAATATTTGTGTTTATCAATTGTTTATGGACTATGATCCTGCTAATTCACTGATAATTGCCCCCCTTCCTGCCCCGCTGACATTTTATAATCCTTGTGACCCTGATAACTCCAGTCATGAACTACCTCTCTACGGTCAGGTGATGTTTGTTTATTTATTTTGTATTTTATATACAGACTGTGTGATCTTTTTACTTCAGCCTATTTAGGCACAGTCTGCTTTCTTATTTATTCTCGAAGGTTGCCCTAGTTATTTTATATCCATTTTGGCCTGGGGTTTATGGGTATTTATGTGACACTTTGAATTACGCTTGCCTAGTCCATTCAACTACTTTGTGTTTCAGTCTTTTTCTTTAAATGAACTCTTCAGACCCTTAAAGCACTTCAGCTTTTTTTTTCTTCATTTTACAAAAAGTGCAGATTGCATTAGAATTCCTTCTGCAATATCACTAATAAAAATATTAAAGGACCACTCTAGGCACCCAGACCACTTCAGCTTAATGAAGTGGTCTGGGTGCCAGGTCCAGCTAGGGTTAACCCATTTTTTTCATAAACATAGCAGTTTCAGAGAAACTGCTATGTTTATGAATGGGTTAAGCCTTCCCCTATTTCCTCTAGTGGCTGTTTCATTGACAGCCACTAGAGGCGATTGCGTGCTTCTCACTGTGATTTTCACAGTGAGAGCACGCCAGCGTCCATAGGAAAGCATTATGAATGCTTTCCTATGCGACCGGCTGAATGTGCGTGCAGCTCTTGCCGCGCGTGCGCATTCAGCCGACGGGGAGGAACGGAGGAGGATCGGAGGCAGAGAGCTCCCCGCCCAGCGCTGGAAAAAAGTAAGTTTAACCCCTTTTCCCCTTTCCAGAGCCGGGCGGGAGGGGGACCCTGAGGGTGGGGGCACCCTCAGTGCACTATAGTGCCAGTAAAAACAGTATGTTTTCCTGGCACTATAGTGGTCCTTTAAAGAGAATGGGTTCAAGTACAGATCCCTGGGGTACCCCACTGGTAACTAGACCTTGCTTCGAATATACTCCATTGACTACAACCCTCTGTTGCCTGTCACTCAGCCACTGCCTTACCCATTCAACAATATTGGAATCCAAACTTAAAGATTGCAGTTTATTGATAAGCCTTCTATGTGCAACAGTGTCAATTATAGCAGATGTCTTTTGATACCTAATTGTTCATAAATTGAGAACACGTAGCATTGTATAAGAAACAAGCGCATATCAGGAGAGTATCATAGATCAATCGCAATGAAACACTGCGGGACATTTTAAAATATTGATCTTTTTTTTTTTTTTTTGTGGTTCTATCTGGGAAATTCAGAAAAGAAGCAAACCAATTGGGATGTATATGTTATATTAAGAAATGTGTAATAAGATATATACAAAACAATGATGTATTTATTGGGCCATTTGTAGCTGTAAAGATACTCTAACAAGGGGCAAACGTGGAAGTTGGACATAGAGTATTATAGTAATACAACAGTTTACTTCTATGGATTATTGCATGGATATCTTTATTTCCTTAATTTCATATCATATCTCTCTTGTATGTCTTTTGAACAGATTTGGAGACCGCTTACTGCAACATTTTACTTCCCTGTGGGACCTGCGACAGGCTTTTTGTACATGGTGAATTTATATTTCCTGTATCAGTATTCAACACGACTTGAAACTGGTTCGTATTTCCTCTTCTTATTGTCATATTAGTCATCTTGCACACATACACTCCCCCCTCCCCCCCCCAGATTAGAGACAGTGCAACATTTGGATATCCCCATTAGGTAGTAGTGTAGGTAGGACTAATTTTATTTGGGTATTTTTCCCCAACGTGGTGAGGCTACCGCCAGGGAGGGACTCTACTATATTGGAGAGCAGCTCTGGTTGTGGGCTGGGTTTTCCTACTCGAGTGATGGATATTCACTAGGATGTAGAGTATACCTGCACAAAAGTATATTTGAGCTGCTTTGCAAAATTTAAATGCTTTTTAAATCTGCTCCTGAATACATTGCTTTGACTGGGATTTAGCTGTATAATCTTCGAGTAAGACTCCACAGGTAGATGTCAGGCAAATCGATTAGTTTGGTTGCAGATTAAAAGGCATAATGATTTGGGCAAATTGGCTAAAAATTTTGTTTTGTACTAGTCTAGAGTACAGTTAATGTACAAGAGTGTTGAGTGCAGTGCCCACAATTAATATTGAGGATATATTGAAGTGAGACTCCTGTATATAGTAACTTGCTCATAGTTTAAAGGAACACAGTATGCACTATAAAAACATAAAATTATTAAAGTTATAGTGCCTTTGGTCCTACCCCCAAAAACTTGAAATTGATTGGTTAGAAGGCTTTGAAGCGTGGCGTAAAGCCTCAACTCCAAGCCCTCTGGGTATGAAAGCTGGAACTGTTACTTTTGAGTTCTCCTACCCGAACGTACTGGACGTCATGCGGATGTGCGCAGAGTCATTGTGCCGTAGAGAATCATTGGTGAACTGAGGCAAGCACTGCGCATGTGCCTATGGTCCCCAATTCTCTATGAAAAGCATTTGATTGGACAGTCATCCAGGAGGCATGCCAGGGTGACATCTGACAAGGAGGAGGCCACGGCAGAATGGAAGATACTCTGTGCTGGAGAGAAGGCAAGTCTTTTTTTTTTTTTTTTTAAAGGAAAATTTGAAATATAACCACATAGCTACCTAAACAAGTATAAAACTGAGGCCTAATGGGATATTGCACAGGGTTAACTTTTTCAACAGGTTATATCTCAATGGAAAATAAAAAGCAAGTGTTTTGCCATGACTTCTAATGAGGAAAGAATACAAGTGAATACATTTGTTTTGTTGCTTACGTGTCCATCCATATTTTATATTGCAGGTGTGTTTGATGGCCGACCTGCAGACTATTTGTTCATGCTCCTTTTTAACTGGATCTGCATTGTTGTATCCTTCAAAAACGTGTTAATCAGTTTGACAATTTTACCTTAATCTAATCACATTTTATATATTTATAGGCATAAAGCTTGTTAACATGACTGACATAACCTCTGATTCACTGTGTCCTGCAAGAACACATTTTAACAAAACAATGACTTTTCAGGCACCACGTGAACTTGCTTTGAATGGTGGAGAAAGTTAAAATGTAAAGATTTACCAAAAAAAAGAAAGTTAAAATGTAAAGTGCAAATATCATCTAGTGTCACTATAGATAATTTCCATAAATTGATCTTCCAGATTGCTACATCTGAATGGGTTGAAATATAGATACACTTGCAGTGGGTTTACGACCATCCTTACTTTCCACAGTGCTGAGTGCAGAATCTCATTGTCAAGATATATGCATTTGCTATAAATTTTGTAGCAACATGTCTATATAAAATGTTACTACTAAAATGCAGACATATGATCTAGGGATTTAATCATTTAAATATAAAATATTAACATGTAGCCAGAACTAACCAAGTTTTCCATTACATGCTATAGGGAGAGGCACAGAAGAAAACAAAAAACAATCATGTGATGCCTTTTTAAGTCAATATTTAGAGAGTTACTCTAAGCACCACGCCACTTCAGTACTTTAAAATGGTCATGATGCTTGACGTCTGTATGTAGGGGGTTTCACTTTGGGGCACCATTCGCCAACTTGGAACAAGAATTCTGTTCTATAAATTGAACCAGGGAACGGGGCTAAGGCATCATAACCATTTGAGAGAGCTTGCCCTTTTACCTACACATGCTTGAAAGATGGGTGACTGTTTTTTCCAGTTTACTGTAATATTGACCAAACCATTTGAAAGCATGATTGCTACAATCTTTACTATAAAATCAAATCTAATAAAATACTTTTGTTTTGCCTTCTTGCCCCCAAATTCTGCCCTACATAAAATCTGCAATATTTAAAAGGGAGCTCTCTGTCACACCTCTGTACACCTGGAACATGCATTTTGCAGGAATGGTCTTGTCGTAGAGACCAAAATATATATAAAATACAGATTAAGG